TTGAACTGCCAACCTTCTGGTTAGCAGTCAAATGCCTTAGGCACTATGCTCCCAGAGCTCCTTCTAAGGTGATACACAAGTATAAAGTCTGTGCAGTTAAGTTAGTGAACCAGTGTATAATAGTGGCATCTACTGCACACTTTACACTACTCGTTAACTGTCATAATGCAATGTTGCTCTATTATGCCTTGAAATGCTCAAGTGAAAAGCAGAGGAAGCATCTGTTCTATGAGCTGTGAATGTGGAGCTTAGGGATTCCCAAACTCAGTAGAAATACTGATGATCTGACCCTGGAGTAAAAAGTGCCACTAATTTCAAAATAGCTGCAAAGGACGTATGGTAGTCAGCATATTCCTGTTGTTGTTAGGTGCCTTTGAGTCATTTCCAAATCATAGCAGACCTATGCACAGCAGAACAAAACACTGCCTGTTCCTGTGCCAGCCTCATGATCCTTGCTACACCTGAGCCCATCACTGAAGCCACTGTGTCTATCCATCTTGTTGAGGGCCTTCCCCTTCTTTGTTAACCCTCCCCTTTAAGCATGATATCCTTCTCCAAGGAATGGTTCTTTCTTATAACATGACCAAAGTAGGTGAGACGAAGTCTGGCCATCATTACTTCCAAGGAGCATTCTGGCTGCACTTCCTCCAGGACAGACTTGTTAGTCCTTTTAGCAGACCATGGTACTCTTAGCATTCTTCTCCAACATCACAACTCAAAAGCATCAACTCTTCTTCTTCTTTGGTCTTTGTTATTCACTGTCCAGCTTTCACATGCATAAGAGGCTGTTTAAAATACCATGGGTTGGGTTAGGCACACCTTAGTCTTCAAGGAGACCTCTTTGCTCTTCACCACTTTAAAGAGGTCTTTTGCAGCTGATTTGCCCAACACAATATGTCATCTGATGTCTTGATCGCTGCTTCCATTGGTGTTGATTGTAGAACCAAGGAATATGAAGTCTTTGACAACTTCAATCTTTTCTCCATTTACTGGGAAGCTGTTTATTGGACCAGTTGTGAGGAGTTTTGTTTTCTTTATATTGACATGTAATCCATGCTGCAGACTGTTGTCTTTAATCTTCATCAGTAAGTGCTTCAAGTCATCCTCACTTTCAGCAAGCAGAAGTGTGTCATCTATGTATTGCAGGTTGTTAATGAGTCTTCCTCCAATCCTAATGCCATGTCCTTCTTCATATAATCCAACTTTTGGATTATTTTCTCAGCATACAAGTTGAATAAGCATGGTGAAAGGATACAGCCTTGACACACTCCCTTCTTGATTTTGAACCATGCAGTATCCCCTTGTTCTGTTCAAACAACAGCCTCTTGATCTGAATACAGACTCCTCATGAGTACAATCAAGTGTTCTGGAATTTCCATTCTTCTCAATGTTACCCATAATTTGTTATGATCCACACAATTGAATGCTTTTGCATAGTCAATAAAACATAAGTAAACATCTTTCTTGTATTTGCTTTCAGCTAAGATCCATCTGACATCAGCAATGATATCCCTCATTCCACATCCTATTCTGAATCCACTTTGCATTTCTGGAAGCTCTCTGTCAATATACTATTGGAACAATTTTTGAGTTATCTTCAGTAAGATTTTACTTGCATGTGATATTAATGATATTGTTCAATAATTTCCACATTCTGTGGGATCACCTATCTTTGGAATAGGTACAAATATGGATCTCTTCCAGTCAGTTGGCCAGGTAGCTGTCTTCCAAATCTCTTGGCATAGCCAAGTGAGTGCTCCAGCGTGGCGTCCATTTGTTGAAACATCCAAATGGGTATTCAGTCAATTCCTGGAGCCTTATTCTTCACTAGTTCCTTCAGTGCAGCTTTGACTCCTTCTTTCAATACCATTGGTTCCTGATCATATTCCACCTCCTGAAATGGGTGAATGTTGACCAATTCCTTTTGGTACAGTGACTCTGTGTATTCCTTCCATCTTATTTTGATGTTTCCTGCATCATTCAATATTTTGCCCTTGGAATCTTTCAATATTGCAACTCGGGCTTAATTTTTTTCCTCAGTTCTTTCACTTTGAGAAATGCTGAGTGTATTCTTCCCTTTTAGTTTTCTAACTCCAGTTCTTTGCACATTTCATTATAGTAATTGGCTTTGTCTGCTCAAACTGCTCTTTGAAATCTTCTGTTCAGCTCTTTTATCTTGTCATTTCTTCCATTTTCTTTAGCTACTCTCCATTCAAGGGCAAGTTTCAGAGTCTCTTCTGACATCCATTTTGGTCTTTTCTTCCTTTCCTGTCTTTTTAATGACCTCTTGCTTTCTTCATGGATGATGTGATGTTCTTAATGTCATCCCACAATTCCTTTGGTTTTTGGTCATTGGTGCTCAATGCATCAAATCTATTCTTTAGATGTTCTCTAAATTCAGGAAGGACATTATCAAGGTCATATATTGTCTCCTATGGACTTGTTTTAATTGAGAAGTTGATGGTCTGTTTCACAGTCAGCTTCTGGCCTTGTTTTGCCCAAATATATTGAACTTCTCCATCACCTGTTGGCACAGATACAGTCTATCTGATTCCTGTGTGTTCCATCTGATGAAGTCCATGTGTATAGTCGTCACTTCTGTTGTTGAAAAAGGTATTTGCAATGAATAAGTTATTGGTCTTGCAAAATTCTATCATGTGATCTCCATTGTTATTTCTGTCTCCAAGGCCATATTTTCAAGCTTTCAGTAACTCTTCTTTGTTTCCAACTTTTGTATTCCAGTCATCAGTGATAATCAACACATCTTGATTGCACGTTTGGTCAATTTCAGACTGCAGAAGTTGGTAGAAATCTTCAATTTCCTCATCTTTGGCTTTGGTGTTTGGTGCAAAGATTTGAATAATAGTAGTATTAACTGGTCTTCCTTTTAGGCAGATGGATATTATCCTACCACTGACAGCACTGTACTTCAGGAGAGATCTTGAAACAGTCTTTGTGACTATGAATGCCACACCATTCCTCTTCAATTTGTCATTCCTGGAATAGTAGATCGTATGGTTGTCTGATTCAAAATGGCCAAAACCAGTCCATTTCAGCTCATTAATACCTAGAATATTGATCTTTTTGAGTTCCATTTCATTTTAGACAACTTTCAATTTTCCTAAATTCATACTTCATACATTCCATGTTCCAATTGTTAATGGATGTTTGCATCTGTTTCTACTAATTTTGAGTCATGCCACATCAGCCAATGGAGGTCCCGAAGGCTTTACTCAGTCCATATCGTTAAGGTCATCTCTACTCTGAGGAGTCAGCTCTTCCTTAGTCAAATTTTGAGTGCCTTCTGACCTGATGGGCTCATCTTCTGTATTGGACAATGTTTCAGGGCTATTCATAAAGTTTTCCAGTAATATATCAGACAGTGTTTCACTGCTATTCATGAGGTTTTCACTGGCCAATTGTTTGAGAAGTAGATGGCCTCTTCCTTCCTCTGAGTCTGTCTTAGCCTAGAAGGTCCACTGAAACCTATCCACTATGGGTAACCCTCCTGGCATTTTGCAACACCAATGGCACAGCCTCCAGCCTTACAGCAACACATAAGCCACCACAGGATGACAAACTGACAGACAAGTCTGTGTCCTTTACTTGTTCCTAACCCCTCTGCATCTGCCTACCTTGGGGCCCGGACTTAAAATAGAGAAGTGTAAAGTGGCCCTTGAGCCCCAGGCATATTACTAGAGGAGAGTTAAAGCTGGTAAAAGCTTGTTCAGAAATTGAAAGACACATTTTGGACCTGAAGGATGGGACAAAGCCTTAATGAAAATACAGAGACCCACTGTTGTGTGGTAAGGGGCATATTATTTATTTATTATTATTCATTATTTATTTATTTAATATATATTGAGCGAGGCTTACTTTGTGCCAGGGACTATTCTTAACGTTTTAAAAATGTATTAAGTGTTTTATTTTCATGACAATCTTATTAATTAATTACTATTACTTTAATCTTTATTTTATAGCTAAGAAAACTAAGGTGAAGAAAAGTTTAGTAACTTGACAAAATTTATGTAGCTAGTAAGTATTAATCAAAGAGTGTTTCACTGCTACTTGGTTCTACTTGGTTCCACAATCAACACCAATGGAAGCAGCAGTCAAGGAATCAGACGACGTATTGTTTTTGGCAAATCTTCTGCAAAAGAACTCTTTAGAGTGCTGAAGAGTAAAGATAGCTCTTTTGAGACTAAGGTGCACCTAACCCAAGGCATGGCATTTTCAGTTGCCTCATATGCATGTGAAACCTGGACAATGAATAAGGAATACTGAAGAAGAGTCGATGCTTTTCAGTTGTGGTGTTGGCGAAGAATACTGAAAGTACCATGGCCTTCTAGAAGAACTAACAAACCCGTCCTGGAAGAAGTGTAGTTAGAATGTTCCTAACAAACCCATCCTGGAAGAAGTGCAGCAAAAACGTCCAGACTTAGTCTCACCTACTTTGGTCATATTGTCAGAAGGGACCATTCTCAGGAGAAGAATATTATACTTATTAAAGTGGAGGGTCAATGAAAAAGGGGAAGACCCTCAGTGAGATGGACTGACACAGTGGCTGCAACAATGGGCTCAGGTATAGGAGGGACTATGAGGCTGGTGCAGGACTGGGCAGCCTTTTGTTCTGTTGTCCTATGAGTACATGTGTTTTGACAGAGAGTTTTGGGCATTCATTCTGAAGGTGAAGTGGGTAGGAATGAGAATTATATCAGTTCATGAAGTTGCACTTGACATTCTAAAGTTAAGCAAATACCCACATCTGCCCTGAGCACCTTCTTCCTTAGACCTAAAAAAAAAAAAGAAAGAAAGAAAGAAAGAAATCTGCTACGGTTTTTGTATTTGTACATTAATCATGGAATTGGGGATCATGAGAATTGACTTGACAGCAATGGGTTTATACAAAACTGCAGGAATTATTTCCACTAGTGGCAGGAAGCTGCAATGGAAAGGCATGGAGTTTGGGAAGAAAAACAACCGGCTGTTATATGTACCTCCTTCAATTACTAACTATGAGCCCAGTCTTGGTAAATTTCTTCTTTAAGGCTAAGGACCTACTATATGAAATGAGGCTAATGGTCAGTATTTTACAAGGCTGTGAAGATTCAGTAAGATGAATGGGAGATACTTGGGGCCTGTGATTCTTGACGGTTTCATTCTCACCACACCCAGTAGCTAGAACAGTGCCTGACACCTAGTAGGGGCTCAAGAAATAATAGGTGAATGGATAAGTGAATTAACAAATCGTTGATGGATTATACATGCATATATAGGAAAATATAGGTGCGTGAAGTATTTGTGGAGTGAATGGAGCATTTTTTTTCTCCACAAAGGCTTATTGATATTGAAAGGGAAAATAGGACCAATTTAAGCACATTTAATGTATTTGAAAAATAATGTTCTAAAAGCTTGAAATTCCCCCTAAGACAGGGATGCAACTATTCCATGTGAAATAAAGCTTCCATTCTGAGCTTTCTAAATATGTACTTGGTTAAATCAGCTGTATTTGATTTACATAAAACCCCAGGCCAATTACCAGCGGAAGGTGACCATTATATTTTGTGATTCAGAAAGCTATGTGCCTCATGTTAATAATTACTCTTTATAAAAATAATTTTTAGCGAATGGATACGTTTTGCTTTTATGATCAATGAGGCTCGGCACACGCCTGGGAGTGGAAATGTATGAGATAGAAAGACAATTAATGATGACTTGAAGCAGTAATTTCAGAACCCCAGCAGGAGAGGACAGGATCTAAACTGCATTCGAGGGGAGTAGGGAACGGGCTCTTTCATGTATTCTCTTCACGATCACAGCACCTTTTGATATGAAATATCTTAAAAAGTAGAGCAAAGTTTATTTTATTTTTTCCTCCTTCCCTCATTCCCTTCTTTCCTCCCTCCTTCTCTCTTCCCATTTTTCCTGTGTTCCCTTCCTCCCTCCCTCCTCCCTTCTTTTCTCTTCTTCCTCCCTCCCTCTCTCACTCCCTCCCTCTCTCACTCCCTCCTTCTTTCATTCCCTTCCTCCCTCCCTCCCACCCTCCTTGCTTTTCATTTTTCTTTCCTTCCTTTCTCCCTCCCTCCTTCCCTCTCTTCGCTCCTTTTTATTATTCCTATCATTAAAAACCAAGCTAAACAACAACAATACTAGGCCATGAAAAGTCAGCTGTTTGGTGTAGTGGAACACCACCACGAGACTGGGAGACAGGAGATACTCGTTCCCATCTAGGCTTTGCCAATGACCTGCTTGGGAACCTTGAATGAGTCCTTTTACTACCCTGGGTTCCAGTTCTTGATCTGGCAAGTGTGGAAACAGTGCTAGATGATCCTTAAGCGTGTTTGTGCTTCACAAATTCAAGGTCTCTAAGTCCCAAATCATGGTCAGAATATCCCCTATGAGCTATTTTTCCTGACAAATGAATGATCACCTCCTTTTTCATATCACTTCATCCCCCAAAGAAGATGCATTCTAAGGAGTGTGAGGAATGAGAGTGTACCTGGGGGTGCCACCATCCGCTGCCACTTCTGGAACAAGCAGGTCTTCAGGCAGTCACGTGGACTGAGGTTGTAGGTTTTATGTCTTGACATCAGTTCCTGCATTGGCTCCAGTATTACACACAACTGCAAGGAGTTCAAAGATATTGGTGTTTCATGACTTGATAATATTAACTGTAATAAATAATGTTAACAGCTGGAATCGATTAGAAAGCTGAAGGGCACTGTTCTTTTCCCCCCTTGTTTTAGATTTTCCCTATACAAGTTTGCAGGAAAAGAAATATTACCAACATTTGATTATATCCACTTAATTTAGTATAATTTATAATGTGACATTATGCCAGAATGTGATTTATATATACACACACATGCATTCACACACATGTGCACACACATACAGGCACACACATATAAGCATACATGAATTCACACACATGCAGGCACACACACATATGCACACATGCATTCACACACACATGCATTCACACTTCACACACATGCATTCACACACATTCATGCACACACACACACACATGCATATACCTGCATTCACACTTCTCACACACATGCATTCACACACATACACATGCCACTTTCTGTCCAGATGCTTTTTCCGGTTCCAAGGAGTGTAGCCTGCTCTGTTTCTGCCCTGGTTTCTGGCTGTGGCTCCTGTCTATGTAACCACATGCTGCAGTTACAGTGCTGCCATGTGCAGATGACCTAGCATTAAGATCTATCTTTTCAACTTTGGAGAACAGGTACCTTTTGATCCTAATTCTCATAAAGGCCGGTGGTGAGACATACTTGATTTTATTCTCACACTTATTTGTAGTTTGCACATGTCACAAGTGTAAACAACATATGCCCTTTTTGTGTGGTGTGGGGGGCTTTCCTGTGACTCTACACACACCTTGTTCCCTCCTTTGGTTAGATTTTTCCACTTTATTTTGGTCCAAGATATCTTATAAGGAAGATTAATTTCAGAAAGAAGAAGGTAAACCTTTTCAGGACTGCCTTGGACTTTTCTAAATTCCTCCTTCGGTGGCCGCCTATCAGAATACCTGTTCACTGACAGCCCTGTATCCGAGAAGATGAGGAGCACAGTATGGAATACTACAGTAACTGCTGGCACAGCTGTGGTTGCTGTGAGCGGTTTAGTCAATTCCGCCCCATAGTGACCTTATAACCAAAAACCAAAACCAAACTCACTACATCGAGTTGATTCCTACTCACAGTGACTCCCTTTGGGTTTCCTAGGCAGTATGTCTTTACTGACATAGACTGCCCAGCAGAGTGACTGGTGGGTTTGAACTGCTGACCTTCTGTTAGCAGTCAAATGCCTTAGGCACTGTACCCTATAGGATAGAGTAAAACTCCCCGGTAGGGTTTCCAAGGCTGTAACCTTCATAGGAGCAGACTGCTACATCCTTCTCACGTGGAGCAGTGGATGGGTTTGAACTGTTGATGTTCTGGTTAGCAGCGGAGACTTAACCACTGCACCCCCAGGGCTCCTGTGCTGTTGCAATGACAGTGATACAAATATTGGCAGCACACCTTCCCAGGTGGAAAAATAAAGCCATTTAATTGCAAAAGGCAGATGTGCTGTCTCCAGTTTCCTTGTTACCCTCTTCCCTTTGGCCAGCCCTCACCTTGAGCACCTCCCAAAAGAGGCCTTTGTCCAGGGGCCCCCTCCACCTGCAATCTCCCTCCCTTCTTCCCAGCTAAGGCCCACCCATGGTTGACTACTGGTTCTTCTGCCCAGGTTCCCTGCCCTACTGGTGCCCTTCTCCCCACCTAGGCTGAGTTGGATGCCTCCTTTATAGTTCCCCCAGAATGTCCAGCCCTTTTGCTCTGTGACTGACTTATTCACACTGAAACCATCTGCTTCCAGCTCTGTCTGCTCCACTAGACCATGAACTCGTTGCCTTTTATCTGTGTTCCCAGGCTGGGCTTAGATGAGCGGGTATACTGCAGGACTGATTCTTAGAAAGATCGGAGCATCTTTCTATGCCAATGTGCCTCAAAGAGGAGTCTAAAGAAGAGTTCCAGCAGACAGAATGGGGTGCTTATTAAAACCACAGGCCCCCAGGCTCTGCCCCTTCTCTTTCACTGGGCCTGGAGGTAAAGCCCTTCGGTTTCACTGGGTCTGGAGGCAAAGGCCTGAATATGCTTTCTCAAAACCATAAACAAGACAAAACACCCCAAAACTCAGTTACCATCAAGTCAATTCTCACTCATGGTGACCCCCCATATGTTTGAAGAGAACTGTGTCCACAGAGTTTTCAGTAGCTGATTTTTTCGAGGTAGGTCACCAGGTCTTTCTTCTGAGGTGTCTCTGGATGGACTCAAACCTCCGACCTTTCAGTTAGTAACCGAGCACTTACTCAAAACCACACCATGACCTCATTCTGATAAACACCACTGAAGTTGGTTTCCATATTCTGGACTTCAGCCAGGGTAATAGAGATGACAAGATATGCACACGTCCCCAGTG